TGACAAAATGCTGCTGCTGATGATTTAGAAAGGCTACAACTCTTCCATCAGTACCGTTTAAGTTTTTTATTTTTATTTTTGTCCTTATATATCTGCGGTTCTGTTGAAATTGCTTCACTTTGACATAAGCGGGCCTCCTCCTCCGTCTTGCATCCAAGCTGATAATCTAAAACATATGCTCATTCAAGACAGATAAATGGCGCTTTGTTATAACAACCTGTGAACTTATGATTTAATATCTCACGTTTGAAACTATTAGAGTGGGTCCACGATAAAATTTAGAACAGACAGATTTAATTTAAAACTAATTAAAAGGTCGACATCTCAGTGAATAAGTGTAATGTAACTTTTTGATTATTTTAATTTGTGCAAAAGAATTTACACAAAAAATTGACCATTGTGCAGATTTTTTATTTTTATTTTTTCAAATTTTACTTTCTAAAAATGTGCAGTGGGTTAAACATTTAATTTAAACATTCTGAAGTGTAACCTTTTTTTTTTATCTATACGCACCAATAGATCTTAAATTGTAATGACAACAATTGAACCGCCTTGGAAGATTGTAGGATAGATAGAGAGATGATTTGTGGAAACAGTTATTTTAAAAAATCACGACCAAATGAAGTCCAATCACCAAGAAATTAGATGTAATTCACTTATCCACACAAAGTGAAAATCAAAACGTTTTTGTGTGTGAGTTTTTTATATATATTTTTTTTTGCTTAGAACAGTCGAAGAGAATCAAAAGTCATTTTTGAAGATCCAGGTCTTGCAAATTAGTGCCTTATTTATTTATTTATTTATTTATTTATTTATTTATTTATTTATTTTTTCTTCCTCGCAAAAGCGTGATGTCTGATATCCGAACTCTCGTTTCGCTCAAGCGTTCAGCTGCCCTCCTGCAGTACCTGTATGTCTACATCTGCAAGTGAACAGGAATGTTTTCACGCAAATGGAAGACGAGTCAGCACTTTATGAATCCTCTAGTAGCATAAATAAAGACAACAGAAGAAGTGCAGCATCTCCTTAAAGAAAGAAGAAGAAAAAAAACAAAGTTCCAGTGTCTCGTGTACTTGATGCACATTTGACTTAAAAAAAACAAAACAAAAAACACATATAAAAGTCGGGACAGAAACAATCATCTTCATTTTTTTTTTCTCTCTCTCTCTCTCTCTCTCTCTCTCTCTCTCGCATCTCTTGTCTGGGAGAAGGAGGTGTGTGTGTGTGTGTGTGTAGGGGGGGGGGGAAGGGGGGGTGGGGGGGGGGGGGAGAGCCCAC